TAATTGCACGATGTTAACTATTGTAATTTTTCAAAACCAAATTATCAATAATATTTTCCAAAAACTAAGGGAAACCAAAATGATGGTATTATGATTTATGTGAAACGAAATTATGAATAGATTGTGTTTAGTATGAATATTTTAATGCTAATAATAAAAAAATTGTTTAAGAATTAAGTCAGAAATTCTACAAACGCACATTACAAATCACTTTTCTACAATTTTGTCGATTAAAAAAAATTAAAATAAAGTAACGTTTGTTAAAATAAATAAATGACAAAAAACCTAAATAAAATCTTTAAAAATGAATTTCGATAATATGTTTTCTTTGATAAGGTAATTAAATCTGCTAAATTATCAACAACAGTGGGAAATTCGAAAAAGAAACGACTAAAAGAGTGAATGACAGCAACATTACTTCGTTTTGTACACCTTAACCAGGAACTATCCCTAAAGTAAACACCCGGACAATACTAAGAAACTGAAATGTATACTGTACAAACAAAATGTACTACTTAAAAATATATTATTTTTTGTATAATACTCTATCACTTTAAAGTTTAAATATTATATAAAGTTCAGCACTTCCGGATTTCTATAATTTGTTTTAAAATATATTGTTAACTTGTATATTAGTTAAACTAAAACTGAAATATATATATAATTTTTAAACTTTATAAACTGTGATTATTATAACATTAGATCAAGTATTGCTTCATCAGACTAGAATGGTATATTGTGTAATATTTAAATATTAATGAATATTTTATTATCAAGGGGATTGCATGTGGTCTGCTTTTAAGGAGTTTTGTATAGGCAATATTTTAGTAAAAAGAGGTTTTAATAAATTTCGACCATGCCAATTAATTTAACGGTTAATTTAAATAATTTTCCCTATAATTTAAATTCATTTTGACTTGTTTAAGACCAAAAAGCTAGACGAAATTTCAACTACTTAGGATGGTCTAATATTTTCAATTCTGTAATGAGATTTAAGTTCTTTGGTTACTTTACTGTGTTATGTAAGACACCGATTTTCATTTGAAAATTTCAGTTTCTTGTAGTTAATAAAATACATTTTGAAATTTTATCAATATTAAAACCCAGTTTTTTTTTATAAAAAAAGCAAACAATTAAAAATCTATTTCCCGCGTAACCTAGTAAAACTTTCGAAAAACTTCCAAGGATATTTTTACAGAATTAAATCTTAAGTAACCGAAATTTTGTCTGACGTTTTAGTCAAAAAAACATACTTCATGCAATCCCCTTAAGTATTTTGTTAATAATATTAAACAGGTTTCACCTGTAGAAACTTGCGGAACATGAAGATATATTAGTTAAAAAATTAATTAACTAGTCTAAAATGAGACATGCTGAATACTAGTTTGAAATACAAAGAAGGAAGTTGATTTATACATTTTCGAGTTCAAATTTGACCGGATATAACAGTAAGCCTAAAAATTAAATATATTTTTTTTATTTCAAATCTCCCTAAGTAGGAAGATGATTTCAAATTTAAATTCAGTGACCACATAAAGATATAATTTGATATTTCCAAATTTGTAAAAACAAACCCGCCTAAGTAGGCGGATGGTTTAAAGTTCGAATTCAACGATCACAAATATATATAATTTGACTTTTTTTAATGATTTTTAATCATAAATTTGGAAGACATTATTTTCAGGCGCATTTTTTGGAATTTAGACCATTTTCTAAGATAGCTGCATAGCTTATGTGCTACTCGCTGGTTCCTACCCACGATTTAATAATAACTTTTCGAGTTAACGGTTTAATCTCTGAAATTATACAAGAATCTGATGTTTTTCAACTACTTAATATCGTGAAAGACAAAACCGCTGCAGGCTTTGAGGGAGTCTGAGTCAAAATCTTAGGCATGTTCGAAGTAAAATTATTAAGTCCTTTAACACATAATCAGCCGATTTCACCAACATTTGTTAAGGATTACACTTATTCTTAATTATACTTAACAATCAATTAGTGAAAATTGGGTTTAATCGAGAATTATTAGCCTGAACACGTTCTTAAGTTAATCAGCCGAAATCAGCTTGTTAAAAAGTTAATTGGCATGTTAAAACGTCATAGATCGAATTATACACTACTAATTGAGATTTTATTATGAAATTATATTGTTATCACTTATCACATTTTGTGATAACCAATGATAACGTTGAAATCAAGGTAACAGCTTTGGTAACCCAACTAACATTTTGTTAACCAGATGTTAAATTCATTTGAATTGTTAACTAACATTATGTTAAAAGTGAATTCAATAATAGTTGGTGAACCGGCTGAATATATAGAATCTAAGTATTAAAAATAGCATTTCTACGGAGAAATTTAAATTAGCCATAATCAAACCTTTGTACGAAAATGTGAATAAAATAGATATTAATATCTACAGACCAATGTCTATATGTTGAGCGACTTCTCTAAGATATTTGAAAAAATTGTAAACCAAAAAGGTTCATTAGATTTTTAGAAAAATAATTCCAGCTCCTATCTAAAAAATGAGTTAACGATTCAGATCAAGCCTAGGTACCGAAAATGCATTATAGAACGTGACACGCTTTATCAATGCTGATGTTCAATAAGACAAGAAAGTAATGGCAGTTTCTTTTAAAGATTTAGCCAAAGCCTTGGTATACAGTAGATCTTCAGAACTTTTAAAAGATTTTGCCTGATTTTAGTATTATTTTATCAAATTTAGATTGGTTTAAGTGTTATTTGGAAAACAGAAAGCAGATAGTTCGGATCAATAGCTATTTAATGGTGATGAAATGTTAATGCGGTCTACCCTAAGGAATTGGGTCCCATTTTATTTATCCTGTACATAATTAGGGTTAATGTTGACCTAACATTACCCTTACCATTTAAGTTGTTTCAAAAGTTGATAGTGCTGTGGAAAAAGATTAAAATGTGAATACTGATTATTTTAAAAGAAAATATTCATCATAATCCTTTCATATATCACCCTGCTAAATACTTGCTGACTGTATACTGATTATACGAATTTCAGATAGAAAAATCTTCAGATAATGTTGGAAGTCATTAGCATTTAAGAAATAAATAGCTAGACGAAAAATGGATATTCAAATAAATTGTTAACTGCTAAAATAAGTTAACTGACAAATATTGTATTATACTAACTTATATAAATCATGTTGATTTATACTTTTTTTAATACACAAACGATCAACTAAATCACTTGATAAAAAAAATAGTGTATTTAGTCTCTTTTGGGAATTTACCGAATGATAATTCATATTTTTAGCGTTAACGCAATCAATTTTATACTTAGTATTGTGAAATTAAAAAAACAGAATTCGTTTAGATGCATCGTCCTATATAATATGTCATTAGTAAGTTCATCCATTTAATGCATAAGACATTATGCATAAGATTAATATCTTATGCATAATATTACTATGCATTAATAAATTGATTTTTATGGGCAAAAATAAAATGGAAAATAGCACAACAGTTCTATTTTCATTGCGACGTCCCAAAAACGACCCCACCTTAAAACTTAATAGTGATAACATCTTCCGGTCTACTAACGTAAAATACATATTATTATAATCCCCGAATCTACAACAAGTATAGCAGAGACTAACATCCCAAGTTGGAAATGCTCTCATATGTTCCACATGCAAATTTTAACACCACTATTGTTATACGCGTCCCCTGTGTGCGGGGTAACTGTGCCAAGACACATTTAAACCAGATTCGAGTCTTCCAATTGAAAAACTTAACAACTCAGTGGCGTTTTTATAGAGAGATACGGGGATTCGGGTGATAGATCCCTCCCCTCGGACTTTTTAGAATAGTCAGAAAACGGGTAATATAATTACACACGAACTACAAAAAGGCCAAAGGACTGGATGGGGATCTAGACCCATATCCCACCCTCGCCATAAATTCGCCACTGCAGTTTGAATGAATACACGAAATGATTAACGATAAACTGATAAACGGTAACGCGGACATCCACGTGGATGATTTTTTATAACACAACATTAACAGTAACTCAAAGTGTAATAGACAATCAAGGGCTCGGGGACGTTTCGAATATTGTGGGCAGTGTTAATGTTGGCTAAACCGGCCCCCCTTGACGAGTGCATGCAAAATAATTATAATAATATATTATATATGTTAAGAAAACCTCACATTCTCCTATGGGGTACCGCTGTCTGGATCCGCCGATGTGCGCGCTTGCAGGGTTGGAACTCCTCCCTGGGTCGGGTCACACTGGTCTTTGGTCCTAGGGCGTTTCTCCAAAGTCCAGGCAAGTTAACGTTACTTTTGGGCCAAACGTGGTAATGTGATGGCCGTGGTCAGTGGTGGTTTTCAACAATTTAATTTAATTTATTCTTTATCTTAGCCCCTAGTCCTACACCACCCCCGTAGAGCTCGGTCTTCTACATCTCGTTCAATCAATCTCTTCTTCTTTTCCCATCTACAGTCATCTTCGTAACACCTCTCACTGCCTCTGCCTCATCTCTTCTCATAACACGACCGAACCGTCTTCCCCCTGTGTATACTAGTATTTTCAAAAAATTTAATTTAATTAAAAACCAAATAAAAAGGCAGCAGTCTGTCAGTTGAGCCAACAGCATCAGCCAATGCGAGCCGATCGTGTCCGGCCGGGTCCGGACACCGCCGCCTTATTAAAGACCACGTTTACACTTTACGGCTCGATGCTGCTGAAGACCACACTGAAGACTCTGTGACAACAAAAATCGCAATAAAACAAGATTAGATTATTAAAACAACAACTACAATAGCATTATTTTATCATTTCACCAGTTACCATTATACCTGTTATCAGTTACCATTATACCAGTTATCAGTTACCATTATACCTATTATCAGTTACCATTATACCTATTATTAGTTACAAGTTATCATTATCCTACCTGTGATGCCTTGGTCCCGTCGTTGTAATAAAATACACCATAAACAAACACGTTTATTATTTGTTTCCAAATAAAACGAATAAAAAACTGTATAGCACAAGATATATGTTATTTTCGTAAACATACAACATAATATAATAATGTATTATTTAACCTACTTGAGCGATTGTATTTGTTCTAAAATTTTTTTCGCCGCTAAGCCGAAATTCCCAACTAGTTGGAAAGCTCGGTTCAAAAGCGATCCTGCCGTCTTAGAACTCAAATCGCTCAAGTAAACGAACAGAGACTTCTACGAGTACTTCATAAATAAAATTAAATGCTTATATACGTGACACACGTATAGTACAATAATTTACTTATGAATATGTAGAGATGTATTAAAAGTAAATATTAAGTTCTAAGTTAATAGTAGAGTTAATTTGTTACTATTAAAACGACAGATATATTTTTTTTAAATAACTATTCGCAGTTCTCCAACGGATTTCTTGTTGGCCTATCAAAACCATTGAGTTATCGTCCCTCCGTCTGTCGTTATTTTTTTTAATGTCCACCCATCTTTATCCACAAACACGTTCCAAAACCACTCCACACAACTGCATGCCATTAGATTAGGTATGGCATAGATATATGAAACGACTACTCATTCATTTACATATGTTTAACATAAACATATGTAACATGTGTGTTTAACTTGTTCTTGTCGATTGGGAGATTTTCGTCTCCAAGCTGCAAAATAGCAAAACAACATTATTAGTTATCAATTTATTATGAAATTCCACATTGCGCTATTATGGTTGGTTTTACATATTATTGAATATAATTAATATTGTTTATTTGGGTCATGGAATATAAGTAATAAATATTATATAACCTTGTATGGTATTATATGTGTACACTGAAGAAATCATGAGTAATATTTAAAAGTTGTTTTATACAAGGACCAATTACATCTGTAACCTAGATTATATCATATATAAGACATAGTATTAAGGTGTTGGATTTACCATTCTATTACGGCTGCTGTTATAATTGAAACGTACGTTGTATATATATTATTCTCTATACTGTGTGTGTTTTTATGTTTAATAGTATTGTGTTAAACATATTATTGTTGTGTTTTATTTTCTACTTAAATACTAACTTCCACCAAGATATACAGGCGTATATCGCAATAGGTTATGGGCCCAGACACATAGTCTCAGGCACAACAGTGAAGCATCAGAAGGCTAAGTATTTTATGTAGTTAAAATTCACTTATTCCAATTGTTCAGTAAGTACTATTTTTAAGTACGTTATCTTTTAACTATGGACGAGTCACTGAAGATTACAAAGCTGAGTAACTCGGAAGGCTGGACACTTTGGAAATTTCAAATGAACGTAATAATTAATTCATTTGAGATAAGCGGTATAATTACAGGAGATTATAAAAAGCCAGTATATACAATAGCAACCTCCGAGAAAGAAGAGGATGCCAAGAAAAGGTTTCAGTTAGAACGAATAGCGTGGTCAAGGGCTGATAGTAAACGTCAAAGATTAATCGTCACGTCATTGGAAAATGGACCGTTACAATATTTGCTAAATTGTAGTACAGCATATGATATGTGGAACAAATTATTAAGTATCTACGAGCAAAAATCTGAAGCAGGTATACATTTATTACAAAATACATTTTTCAGTTATGTAAAAGAGCCTACAGATGACATTTCGACGCATATCAGTAAACTACAGAATCTTCAAAACCAACTCGCACTATCGGGAGAGAAAATCTCTGACAATATGTTGCTAACTAAAATTCTTATGACTTTACCGCCATCTTATAAACATTTTTACAGTGCATGGGACAGTGTACCTCAAGCAAGTAAAAATTTAAATGAACTTACATCTCGGTTGTTAATAGAAGAATCGAGAATGTCTCAAGGAGGTTCAGAAGTTGAAGCAGAGGAATCCAATGCTTTGACTGTCAAAAGATTTCAAAAGAAATTTTTTAAGAAGAATGGTGGTAATGTTGGTAATGAACGTAATTTTAGTAATAATAATACTAAAAAGATAGGTCCCTGTTTTTGGTGCAAGAAACTAGGTCATCTCAAGAAAGACTGCAGGAAGTATCAAAAGTACCAGAATGATCAGGGTGAGGCGAAATCAGATTCGCCAAGTACAAGTTTAACAGGTCAAGCGTTCTATAGTGAATCTTTGGTTACTGATCGCAAAGAGAATCAATGGTATTTGGATTCAGGAGCTACTGAACACATGACAAGCAACAGAGAGTGGTTTGTGAACTATAAAAAATTCAGGTCGCCAGTGGAAATAAGGATTGGCGATGGTACAAATTTACAGGCAGAAGGTTCGGGTAATATAAACATAATATGTTATGTGGGAAATAACATGAATACAAATTATTTGTCTAATGTGTTATATGTACCAAATTTAAAGTATAATTTATTTAGTACGGGCAAAGCATTAGATAAAGGTTTGAAAATGGAATCAGACAGTAAAAAATGTATTTTTTTGAAAAACAATAAGGTCGTTTGCACTGGTGAACGCAAAAACGGGTTATACAATATGAACATTGAGATTGTACAGCAAATAACCGACGACATGACATTGACCGAGCAAGGTAACGGACAAATGGAAGTGAATGCGGCAATCGCGGATTCCATTCAACTTTGGCATGAACGACTAGGGCATCAATGTAAACAGTACGTAAAATCTTGTTTGCTAAAACATAATATAAATGTAAGCGGTGATTGGAACCAGTTCTTGTGCGGTGACTGTGTTATTGGAGAGCAAACGAGAAAGCCATTTAAGAGTCGTTCGACTACATCGGGTAAAACCGGAGAGTTAATTTATGCAGATTTATGCGGACCGATGGAAAAAAAGTCTCTGGGCAAGTCCCAATATTTTTTATTGTTCAAGGATGATTACACACATTATCGGACGGTCTTTTACTTGAAAAATAAAAATGAGGTCAAAAATAAATTAGAGTTATTTATAAGATTTGTTAAAAATGATTCTGGGAATAAAGTAAAAGCTTTAAGAAGTGATAATGGTTTAGAGTTTGTTTCTAAAGAAGTAATAAGTATTTTGCAGAAATATGGTATTCGACATGAAAAAACAATAGCGTACACACCAGAGCAAAATTCTGGGGCGGAACGTGAAATGAGAACTATTGTGGAAACAGCACGAACATTACTTCATTCAAAGAAGATGGACATATCATTTTGGGCAGAAGCAGTTAATACATCAGTGTATGTACTCAATCTTACTGGTAAGAGTACTGTTGAAGGTAAAAGTCCATATGAGCTTTATTTTAACAAAGAACCAGATATAAGGCATTTAAGGGTATTTGGAACAGAAATGTATGTTCATATTCCAAAGGCCAAGAGACGAAAATGGGACGCTAAAAGTAAATTGTGTATTTTTGTCGGGTATTCTTTAGATAAACGTGGGTATAGGGCTTATTGTCCAAAAACTAAAACTATAAGAGATTATAGAAATGTTGTGTTTAAAAAAGAAATAAATACTAATGAATTAACATTTAGCGAAAGTGTAAGTCAAGATTATAATGTCGACGAGGAAACACCTCAGGCGGTAGAGGTACAACCAGAAAAACAACTCGAAGTCACGCCAACAGAACTACCAAGTTACAATCTTCGCGATCGAGGTCAATTGCGTAAACCGGCCAGATATGCATGTATTACGTCGTGTATTACAGAACCGATTAACTATAAAGAAGCTGTGAGCTGTCAGAATAAAAATGATTGGATTTTAGCCATGGACGACGAGATAAATTCATTGCATACTAATGACACCTGGACGTTGGTGCCAATTCCAGAAGGAAAGCAAGTATTAAATAACTCATGGGTTTACAAAATCAAGTACAATGGTAACGGGCAGGTTGATCGATTTAAGGCTTGATTAGTTGTTAACGGTTCTCGACAGATACATGGGATAAACTATAACGAAACATTTTCACCTGTAGTTAGATTTGAATCTATTAGAACAATTTTAGCCATTAGTGCGGCTCAGAAATTGGAATTATGCCAATTTGACATTCGTACAGCATTTCTATATGGTATGTTAGAAGACGAACTGTATATGGAACAACCGATCGGATATGACGACAATTCAGGTCTGCAAATTACGTAAGTCGTTATATGGATTAAAACAATCTCCACGGTGTTGGAATACACGGTTTAAGAATTTCCTTTTGCAATTCAATTTAAATCAAAGTAAATATGATTCGTGTGTTTTCACTAATCATGATAATAATGAAAAATTGATTTTAGCTATTTTTGTTGATGATGGTCTTATTGCGTCAGTCAATAAAACAAAAATACAGGTATTATTGTCTAAATTAGAAAAAGAATTTGAAGTTAAACACGGTAACTTAGATTATTTTCTAGGAATGGGAATTAAGAAATTAGATGATGGATCATTATTTAATAATCAAACTAATTATTCTAGAAATATTATTAAACGATTTAACATGTTAGATGCAAAGGATATCTCAATACCCATTGATAAATCAACGACATTGGATGTTCACACGGATTCGATAGTACTAAAAGAAGGTCAAGTAACGTATCGAGAAGCAGTGGGAAGTTTATTATTCCTGTCACAATTAACAAGACCAGATTTGGCATTTGCAGTTAATTTTGCATCACGATTTTTGACAAAACCAACTAATGCTCATTGGTCGATGGTCAAACGCATTATACGTTACGTTAAACATACAATTGATTATGGATTGGTGTATAAATCTGATAATAATTTAGATTTAAGAATATTTACAGATTCTGATTATGCTGGAGATTTAGAAACAAGGAGATCAACTTCGGGACATCTATTCATGTTGGGTTCATCTACAATCTCTTGGCAAGCACAACGTCAAGCAACGGTCTCTCTTAGCAGTACGGAAGCGGAGTTCATTGCAGCGTCGGACATTACGAAAGGACTAATTTGGTTTAAAAGTTTCTTACGAGAACTCACTAATAATAATATGTATGATAAACCTATATTATTCATTGATAATCAAAGTACCATTCGTTTAGTTAAAAATCCGGAGTTTCATCGAAAAACAAAGCACATCGATGTACGATATCATTTCATTCGTGAAAAATATGAAGAAGGTCAATTCGAAGTTCAATACATAAACACACAAGAAATGTTGGCAGATATCTTCACAAAGCACTTCCAAAGGACAGATTTGGGATGATTCGATCAAGCATCGGAATACAGAAGATATCACAGTAGAATAAGTTAATTTAAGGGAATATTAATTAAGGGGGTGTATTGCATATAATTAATATTGTTTATTTGGGTCATGGAATATAAGTAATAAATATTATATAACCTTGTATGGTATTATATGTGTACACTGAAGAAATCATGAGTAATATTTAAAAGTTGTTTTATACAAGGACCAATTACATCTGTAACCTAGATTATATCATATATAAGACATAGTATTAAGGTGTTGGATTTACCATTCTATTACGGCTGCTGTTATAATTGAAACGTACGTTGTATATATATTATTCTCTATACTGTGTGTGTTTTTATGTTTAATAGTATTGTGTTAAACATATTATTGTTGTGTTTTATTTTCTACTTAAATACTAACTTCCACCAAGATATACAGGCGTATATTGCAATACATATAAATATTATGTCATTTATAATATTAAAATTTATACAAGCACATATTATAAAAATTATGTATGACA